GTTGCTAGAATTGAACTTGAAGATTTCCCCCCATGAATTCATCTTGGGGAGGTAATTACTAATGAGTAATAATATCCCTGATGGAGGTTTTCTGAGAAACAAACACTCTTCAGCGAATAGGCTTTGTTAATAGCTGAAACACAAATGTTAAAACAATGAAGGTATTTTTAGACTGCAGAGTAGGACACCTAGTTTGCTTTCCATTTATTCAGCACGGTGCCTCTTTTTTGCCAAATTCTCTACCAGGCATTGGGGACGAACAGAGGAGTCCTGGGAGTGCGGTGTGTACCTAGCTGAGTAGGGAATTTGGATGGTAAACGGAATCTTGGGGAGCTGGGTCCTGGGTGCTGTGATGGAGACGTGCACAGTTCACTGGAGCAACTGGAGGAAGGCTCTCCTGCTGAAGGACATTTGAGTTGATTATTAAAAGTCTGTCAGGCTGAACGGAAGTAAAGGGATATTCCTTATAGAAAGGATGCTCTTGGGCGGTCTCATTTCTTTTAGCTAGGAACGTGTTCACGCTAGGCATAGGTAACTAACAACCATTAAACTTCTTAACTCAAATAGCAGGCCTTCCTGGACCTTTGGCATGTACTGGAGCGTAACAACTTCATGACGAGATTCTCTTCCGTGCCTTCAGAAATGTTGGCATGTGGTCAAAACCCAGAACACGATGGATGGATTGATGGATGAAAGGACAGGGAACATCCTATGTCATAGGTATCACCAGGATGAGGTAGAGTTGTCACTGTTAGAAAACTTGGAAGCGCTTGATTTACATTTTTCAGCCAAGAAGGAGAGCAATTTAATTTTGTACAGCAAAGGGATCTGGCAATAGAGCCCATATTTTCCTCAGCAAATAGCTGGGACTCTTGCGAATTCCCTGCACAAACATTTAGCTTGGTCTCCGGAGTCCTGCCGGTGCGGTGCTAAAGGAATGAATTCCCTCTGACAAAGGTGAAGGGCAGGTATTACCAGCCAATCACAACATCCCCAAGCTTTAGCCAGGCCTCTGCGGAGAATCTGATTTTAAATAGGGCCACTTCCTCGCCGTGCCTGTAGAATTATTAAGCTGTGCAATGTATGCCTGAACAGTTCCGAGACTTGACCTGGGGAAGGGGTTACTTTAGATAAAAGATTACCAAGTGCAGTGTTAGTTTTGGTGTACTGATGGGGAGCAACTTCTCCCAATAGTAACTAGTCATCAGGCCCACAGACTTCCTAAGACTCCTCATTCAGAAAAATATATACACCCTTTTCTTTCAGTCTCCGGAATTGTGTATCCATCTGCTTGACTGTTCTCTTGGATGTCTCCCCTCTCTCAGACCTAAACTGGACCATTTATAAATCTTACTCTTCACCACTTGCTCCAGATTTGTACCTTCTTTTGCTGGGTACTGTTCTCATTAAATGGACCACCATTGACCTTGTAGCTCAAGGAAGGGAGGAGCAAGGTGTTAATTCTTGACATCCTTCCTCAGCCCCTAAATGTAGCCAGTCAGTTTCATGTAATTTTCTGACATGCATATACCTTTCTTCATTTGATGTGCCATCAGCCATCACCCTCCATTTGCACTACTGCCCCGGCCTCCTAACTGGCCCCGGCCTCCTAACTGGCCCCCTAACTGGCCCCCCTGTTTCCACTTCCCCTGTTTCTGATCAGTTCTCCCATGGCATGCACGTTCATCTTTGTAAAACGTAACGTGTTTATGACATCTCACGCTCACAAGCCTTCAGTGGCTTCCCTTTGCACTGTAGCTGAAATAAAAAGAATTTATCCTGGCCCACGTGGCTGGGCATGACATAGCCCTGACTTACCTTTCCAACTTTCTCTTTTCCCCCTTCCTTCTCTTTCAGCTCTTTGATGCTCCAAGCAGTTTCCCGCCTTACTGTCTTTTCCCGGTTTCCTTTGCCCCGAATGCTGTCGTCCATGCTTCATCTGGCTCACTCCTCATTTTTAGGACTCCTCCTAACTGTTACTTTTTCTTGAGAGGTCTTCCACATCACCCAGTCCAAAGTTGCCCTCCCATAATCTTGATCAAGACCCATCTGAATTTAAGAGGATTCTTTTGCTTTACCTGTATCTCCTCACCTTAACATGATACTCCAGGGGGACCACAGCTGTGTAGTCACCCTCTGTGCCAGGGAGCACAGTGCTGCACAGCAGTGGTGTTTCATAACATTTTTTGAGTTCAAGACTGTTTCATTAAAGTAAAAGTAGACCTAGAAAGGAGAATCTTGGCCGCCTCTTTGCAATAATGACGGCCCTGCATCTGATTCCTGTAGCAGGGTTTGCACATGGCTTCCATACGAGTGTCAAGTAGAGTCCTAACAGAAAGTCAGTTATTTCCCCTTTTGCCTTGGAAAAGAAAGGGGGAAGGGAAAAAAAGGTTGGTGGCTTTTTCAGTGTTTGTCTTTGGGAGCCTCACAGACTAAGTTTAGGTCCTGATTTTGCTCCCGTAAAGCTGTCTCATCTCTAGCAAATTAACCCAGTTCTCCCAGTTCTGTTTCCTCATGTATAAAATGCGGAAAATTATATCTACCCCATGGGCTTGTTATTAAGATTACAGGAGACTGTGTGCAAGGTACCTCATACCACGGTGGGAATCTTGTGGTTCAGCCATTCTTCTTCTTATTCCCTTTATATCGCAAGAGATTAATAAGGATTCTGAGAAAACTCATGTAATTTACCTCGTAAACTTACTGTACTTATTTAATGCTGAATCATACCCAGGGGCACTCAAATGAGGTCAAATATCAGTTTAAGAGGAAGTAATCCATCCCTAGGGTGCAAATAATCAGTGATGGGCTGTTTATATAATGGCCAGTAACATTGGCCTCCCTCAGAAGGACCTTCACGGAATTCACCTTTCCTTATTCCAGGAATTTTTTTTCTTTTTCAACATGATAATATTTAAATAAATAAATACAAATATATGTTTTTTATTCTACTTCAAGTAGATGTTCTGTGGAGCCGGGCCATATGAAAATATTTTCCCCATTTTAGTATTTCTGTGGAGAGGCGTTGGCAGGCCCATCAAAAACTCTGGAGTCCAAAGCTCTTCTAATTATGTTGTCAGCTTTGGGGGTAATTTAAAAATTTTAATATTCTGGAGACAGTTTATTAAATGTATTCGAATTAGTAAGTGGTGGATGTTTACCACCTACTTAGGCATTTCAATCTGGATGCTAGATTGAGTTTAAGTTGGGAAAAGTGTCATCTCCACCAAATTATCCAAGGATAATTCTTTGTCTCTATGAAGTGAGAATAACTCACTGACTCTTGCCTGTATGAAATGTGTTTCACTGAATGACATGAGACAGCACTGCGGCAGGGGCATTGTCTCTCTACACGCCAAGTCCTCCAGAGAGCTGCGGGCCTCAGCATTACAAGGTTAGGGCCTAGCCCTGGCCAGGTAGCTCAGTTGGTTAGAGCGTCGTCCTGAAACACTAAGACTGCTGGTTCAATCCTCGGTCAGGACACATAGGGGAATCAACCAGTGAATGCATAAAGAAGTGGAACAACAGATCGGTGTTTCTTTCTCCTCTCTCTTTCTCAAATCGATAAGTAAAAAATTAAAAAAAAAAGTCTTGTAAAAAACAGTTCAAGACCTATTTGCTCAAATAGTGAAGAGGCCAAGAGCTATATTGTTTATTATGGGATAGGTATGATTGAGGGCATTGGTTGGCAAACCGTGGCTTGCGAGCCACATGTGGCTCTTTGGCCCCTTGAGTGTTCTAATGCCACTTCTTCAAAATAGACTTACCCAGGCTGAAAACCGACTTCCGCACATGGTATTTTGTGGAAGAGCCACACTCAAGGGGCCAAAGAGCCGCATGTGGCTCTAGAGCCGAGGTTTGCCGACCACTGATCTAGGGTGTCGACGCAAGGGGGTAGACATGACAATTAAGAGCTGTGAGTCATTGGCTTCTTGGCTCAGTTGTTTAGAGTTTGGAGCTTTCTTTCGGGAGGCAGGGGAACAGATGTGAATGCCTTCTGGGACCTTCACTCTGCCATGTTCTGTAGCTAAAGATATCACCTCAAACCCAAGCCAGGTATCTTGACAATGCGTGTGATTGGTTATTTGGGACAATAACAGGTGAACGTACTCCATTCCAGAAGGTGTGTGTATTGACACAGGGGAGGCTATATGAGTATGGATGCCTGGACATTTAGTTCATGACCAGTTTCTCAGGGCAAGTTCAGCTTCATAAGCTGATATGGCTAACTGAGAATTGTGGTTGCTAATGTTAATGTATGTCCAGCATAATGGTGGCATATGCTGTCATCTCAGAGAGATGGCAGAAGCCAGCTACATTGTTTTCATTAAAAACAACAACATAAAAAATCTGGGTGCTTCTCCCCTCCCTTACACCCCACCTCCCAGTCACCGTACCTTTACCTTTCTTTCTCCTAAGCTCCAAGGACCCCTCTTTGGCTTCTGTAAACTGTTTCCTGAGCCCATTTCTTCTATTTTCTGAAGAAACTTTCTCTTATGTAGAAATTAATTAATTAATTAAAAAACCAAGCTGTTCTTTTACTCATAGGTGTTGCCAAAGGGAGTAAAAGTTGATGTTATTGGTCAGTGGTTCTGGTCATTGCATTTTCTTTTGGTGTCTCCTGTTCCGTGTCTGGGGGCTGCAGTGCTTTAAACATAAATTGGGCAATGCCTTCTCAACAGTTCACGACCTTCTGTTGAGAAGAATGGGAGCGCCCTAGTACATGAAGAAATAATGCATTTCCTTTGCTTAAATGCAGGCTACCTTGATGTCCACGCATGGGACTTCAGGGTTTCCCCTTCCATTGAACTGATTTGATGTTTCTGATGTGATGTTTAAATGACTTCTTCAGGGTGTTTCAGTTTGATGAGATGCTAGAAATTGAAAAGAAATCATAAAAAATAAACCCACAGTAGTATTCCTTGATCTACCTATAAGTCACTCATGAGTAGTCTGTTGTGGAATGTGACATCTCTCCCTTTTTTTGGTCTCTTTTCCAGAATGCTATGAACCTGCCCCCTGACAAAGCCAGGCTGCTGCGGCAGTATGACAATGAGAAAAAGTGGGAACTGATTTGTGATCAGGTAAGAAAAAAAAGATGTTTTTATCAAGAAATAATGAAAGTCGACTTGCTAGCTTTAAAAGTTCAAAGTATAAATTAAATTGGGAGGAGTTAATTGTGGTAACTAAATGCCTAGAGTACAAATAAGAGACAAGAGCCTGGAGAGAGATATATGGCAGGCTGGACTGTATGAGCAGTACTTTCCAGTTAAAATTATCAAAGATTTCAAGGATTGATTTGTTCTCATTTGTTCCTCATGTCAGATGAGGAATCTATGTGATGCTTGCACTTAAAAAAAAAATTATTTTAAGTCAGTGATGCAGTATTTTTTGAAGTCAGTTTTTCTGAAGTGATGTTTTAATGTAACATGTAAAACTTTTATATTTGATCCGTTTTCTTTTGCTTTATATGCCATTGTTGTTGTCATTTGTAATCACATTGTAAGCTTGAATTTGGGCTTGTACCTGCATCTTGTATTTTGTACATTCAGTTGTTTAAACTTTGGGAGTCATTTTTAGTTTCAGTCATGTGTGTCTATTTTATAGAAGTAATTATGACTTCAGTTGTTTAAAAAAAACAACCTTATTCATCTTTCGGTGGCTTAAATCTGATTGGTAGTATGTTACAATATTCTAATGGTTATTAGGCTTGCTGAATTTCATGTCCACATTACTATACCTCTACTTTCTTTCACATGTTCCTGTGTTGGGAAATCACACTCACAGCCCTTTTCCTCCTCCTCTTTAAAATAAATATCTAAATTGAAAAAAAAAATAATGAAAGAAGAGATTTCCTCCCTAAGTATATTAAATTCCCCATCCCCCCAAGAAGATGCATGGCTTTCTGTTTTGTGATTTGTCTTCCTGTTTCTTAAGATCAAAGAAAAAGTGAGAAAATGTATTCTTTTATTCTTGCATGATTTTGATTCTTTCCTTTATTTTTAGACTTTTTGTATTAGGTTTTCTGGGCGATCTGGTCTGGTTAGGGGGGCATCCAAATTCAGATTGTCTTTTTTTCTATTTATGTCACAGAGCAGTTTATGCTGCTTGAATAAGGCAGGCCCTCTAATTTAGTCATCTTTTCCATGTATATTGATGCATATTCATGCAAGAAGGTGAATTGTTTATAAAGAGACTACTTAGGCTGATAAAAATTTATTTCAGAGTTTAGCAATTCTTTTTATCTTATCATTAACTCATAATAAATTCATACTCTTCAGAAGGATATAAAATAAAAAGTAGAATTCCCCCTTTTTCTTTCTACCCTCATAATTGTATACCTTAGAGACTTTGAAATGTCCTTCCAGCTTCCTTTTATGTTGTTATTTTAAAACAAACAAATACATGAACACACACTCTCTTCCTCACTTTGATACATTTGTCAGCATATGTGCCTTACCTTATTCTTGTAGATGCTCTGTAGTATTCCATTGGCAGTGGTCGTGATTTGGGGGCACTTTATTCTAGGACTAGGTATAGGCTAATTGTTCTAAAACAGAGGAGTCCCCCCCTAAAGGTAGAGAGTAGGCTCTGTCGATTCTGTATTATCAGGTTTTTCGTTTTGTGCCATGAGTTTCTGGGTGCTCACATTCCTGCGTCAGGCCGCCCTGACACTTTCTGGGCGTGCTGTAATTCCTCTGACCCTCTGACCGGAGCTCCCTGAAGTCTCCGTTGCCGGGTAAAATGTGTCAGGGGAGCAGTGGGGTTTTCCACGTTTGCTAAGATATAGATGCCTGTGGTTCTTACAGAGTTCCCGCAGCACGTACTGCGTGTTGCTTGACCTAAGCCCCTAACTAAAGCAGGAATGAAATGATGGTAAGAATCCTCCCCTCTGTTTCCATCCTATGTTTGAGCACCAAGAAGAGATAGAAACTGAAGAGGAAGCCTACTGCTTAGATGACTGTGGTCCAAAAGAATAACATGTTGCTGACACTTAAAATCTCCTTGCTCAAGACTTAATTTTTGATGAGCATTAGCTAAACCTATTATTTTGAGGAAAAATTATTTTATGACAGTGAACACATATAATAGGGATAATCACTATAAAGGAAAGGTAGTCACTCAAGCGAGGGAAGGCCAAGGGGTGAGAAATTCTGCCGACGCACAGATTATGTTATGACAGCGGAGGGGAGCAGGCGAGGGGAGACTGGCCCTGGTGGCGGTGAAGCTATGCTGGGAGGAAGGGCTGAGCCATCCTTCCTTCCTCAGCCCTGCGGGCGTATTCCTCAGCCTGCCTGCTCCTTCCTGGCGTGGATGAATTAGTAGCGCTTGTATCTCCAGTGTGCCTGGCAGGGAGGCTGCCGCTGATGGAAGAGCTTCAACAGCTGTACTCTGCTCTCAGGCCGGAAGTGGCTCCATAGGGTGGATGGCGGAGTCTCAGGCAGCTGGAGGCTCGGAGAGTAGCAAATCAGTTATCTGATTATTGGACTAATTCTCGGCTCCTCCGAGTTCTGGCAATTCCTGTCTTAAATATGCACATGCCAGGACGTGGAGAATTTAGCTGCTTCATCTGTTCCCAGCAGTCCCTTCAACACAAGCTGAATGGCTCCATCAGTTCTGAGTAGCGGGTGGTTTATTAATAGTGAAGTAATACTTATTATTGTTGTTGCCAACAGCCAGCATTTAGTAAGCAGATTTTCTGCCCGAAAGCTTTGTGTTTAGTCTTCAAAGGACACCAGAGGCTTATTAGTGACTCCATTTGACACACGGGGAAAACTGAGCCTGGGCGATTAAGTCATTGCTGAAGGTCGCATCGCCGTTAGGATGGGTGGTCAGAGTCCCGAGAATGTGCACATTCCGGGTCTTATTCGTACTTTCCGCTCCCTTCCTCACTGAGTACGAAAGTGTTTGAATGATACACTAGAAGGAGAAAGTACAAGCTGTTTCTCTGCCCGCATCCTGGTATTCTTTCCTGAGAGGGAGAGAAAGCCAGGAGGTCTTAGCACAGACACTGAGCCTCATTTACCCGCATGACCGCCACGGTGAACTACCATTTTCTGATCAGTCACTGAGAGAATTGTGTCCAGCAGAAAACTGGGCTTTTTGTCAAATACAGCTAACTTATTGTCACCCACATGAATATGACTTCTATGTATGTTTCTGAGGGGAAAAATAAAATCCATTAGCTTAACGCATGCATGATGTACTATTTATATGGCACATATAATAAATATAATGTATTCGTGTTTATTTGACTGAAGGTTTATCTTACCTGTTATCTACATAGACCTTGTCATACACACACACACATTTGGCACCTATAATCTATATCTCTCTCTGGTACCTAACCTGATGGACACTCAGAATACATTTGCTTTTATGATTCCATCTATATGAAATGCCCAGAATAAAAAATTCATAGAGAATGAAACTAGATTAATGGATGCCATGGACTAGGAGGGGGGATGAGAGACTGATAATGGGAATTATATCTCATTAAACATGATATTTGCCTCTGCAACAAACAGAGATAGGGAAACACGGGGAGGACACCATAAGAGAGATAACTGTGTAGATCTTCTTTTGGATCTTTATCTGGACATTCATGTACTCTGGGGGGATACTGAGGCGTGTTTTATAGTAGCAGAGGTGGTAGTATGAGAGTAAGTAGCTGGAAATGCTAAGCTCCTTGGACAATTACCAATGAAAGCCCCCAGCTGCTCGGCAGTAAGAGGGCTCTCTCCTTGCTCTTTGTACCTGTACGAATGCCCTTTGCTCTCACTCCTGCCTCAGTCCTGGGTGTTCCTAACCAGGGACCCTGTGCTGTGCTGTTTGGCTTTGGAGTCTTGGCTGTTTTCCATCAGCTTAGTGTCAAAGCTGCATGTAGAGAGCTTCAGAGGTCCTAGATGGCTTCCAAATCATTACAGCAGGTACGGTTGTAGAGACCATGCATTTCAAGCCACTTTTTATTTTCCTTTTTAAGCGATTTTTTAAATTGATTTTTAGAGAAAGAGGGAGAGGGAGAGAAACATCAATAGGACCGCAGAACATCAGTTGGCTGCTTCCTGCATGCTCCCTACTGGGGATCTGGCCCGCATCCTGGGCGTGTACCCTGACCAGGAATCGAATGGTCAACCTCTCCATGACCAGGCCTTCACCATACTTGTTATATTCGATCAACTAAGTCATACCGGCCAGCGCTCTACTCTTTATTTTTCTACTTAAGTTAACATATGCTTGTCAAAATGAGAAACTATTAGAGCATGTGAAGTAAAGTGTGATTCCTTTTGCCTTTCCTGTCTGTTCATGCATTCCCTTAAGCTATTGGTGATGAAATTGAGGTTCAAGAGCATAAATGACTAGACCAATGGCACCAAGGTCGCCCCGGCCAGGGAGATGAATGAGAACACCTACTTCTGAGCTCTTTCAGTCATTTCCTGTTACACAGGGACCTGGAAATACCATTGAAACAGAAATCTCAGTAGATAAGAAGTAATCTCTGACCCTTCAAGGTTTCTCGGGTGTTGTTGGTTGGGGGCACGGATTGGTTCATAACTGAATAACAAAGTAGAAGTGATTAGTCCTAATTTCAGGACATTTTAAGTGACTAACATCTATGGGTGTAAAATCAAGTTCTGAAATATTATGGTGCCACTCCTGAGCTGGGCTAGAAAGCTCCCTCTGTGTGACTTTGCTGGTTCCGATGGTGGGATTTATTTTGGGGGTGATGTGGCATGGCATTTATTTTGGGGGTGATGTGGCATGGCTTGATCTTGCTGCCTAATGGCTGGCTGTTGTTTTGCATTGTGGCCTTCGTGAGAGATGGGGTCTCCCCCCTTCTTGACTTTATGGAATTATATGGGAGAAGGAGATACAAACCAAAACAAAAGGGAGAAAGAAGGGTTGGCTGGAAATCATACCCACCTGAACTCAGCTTCCTGCGTTAAACACCTCCGGGAGATTGAATGTCAACCTTCAAGGTCCAGCATGCTTCCTGATCAGGAAAGGAGAGGCACCTGCTGCCACTGTGCCAGAACTGAGTCAGGCCAGGGGCACTAAGATACTCCACTACACCAAGATACTC